TCCTAGCCTATCTGTGTCGTTTCGAGATGTTAGTGAGTAACCCTCAAAATGGTTGTCCCCAATGTGACATCTAACACAGATATCCTGAAACCGCGTGCCGCGTTCAAGCTGGCCACCTACAATGTTCGGACGCTGATGCAAATCGGACAACAGGCAGGGTTGGTAAGAACGTTGGAAAGCCTCGCTATCGATGTCTACTGCATTTCGGAGACTCGCATTCAGGATCCCAGTGAAGTGCTTCGATTATCCTTTCCATCTGGAAGTTCTAGTAGTATGTACCACCTGCGCTTGTCCAGGGTCCTTGTGGCGTCGGCATCCGGCGTAGCTGATGTCGGCGTCGCACTGAGCGCTAGAGCCGAAGCTGCACTGCTCGACTGGATTCCCATTAACAGTCGTTTATGTGCTGTGTGCTGAAGGTTATACAAAAGTAAGGAGTAGTAAGAAAGATAGGCGGTGTCTATTTGTTGTCTCTGCCTATGCACCAACGGATTGCAGCCCAGATGCAATGAAGGACGAGTTCTACCACCAACTTAGCGATCTCTTGAGACAGGCGGGTCGGAGGGATATCGTAGTGCTGGCTGAGGAATTGAATGCACAGGTCGGGCGTCTGACCTCAGAGGAGAGTCGTCTAGGTGGTCAATAGGGACTACATGGTCGCAGGTCAGATAATGGGGACCGTCTTCTGCAGCTTTGCGCGGATCACAACCTATTTCTGGCCAGCACCAACTTCCGACACAACCATCGCCGTAGCGCTACCTGCCGTCCTCCCTCTGCGAACCAAGCTTGGACTCAGATCGATCACATTGCTGTCAATTTCCGGTGGTGGGGATGCATACAAGACTGTCGCTCCTTCTGGAGCACATGCCTGGACTCCGATCATGCGTTAGTGTGTGCCAAGTTCGTCTTGCGATTTGGTGTGGTTCATAAAAGGCGTCGTCTAAACGTTGATGTGAGCAAACTAGTAGCACCTGCTACTTCTTAGAAATATCAGAATGAGTTACAGTCAATGCTTGCCAGCAACCCCCCAAGTAGTATAGATGAACAATGGCTTCATCTACAAGGTGCCATGCAAAGAGCGAGTGTAGCCGCTTGCGGCTTGAAAGAATGCTCCGCCAAAAACCACTGGGTTTCTGTGAGTTCCTTGCAACTCCTGGATGAACGCCGGTCCATTCCGGCTGGCAGCGAATACAGCAATAAGCGAAAGGCGCTGACGCGCAAGATACGTAAGGACCGCGAAGCCTGGTGGTCAGAACGTGCGGGTGAGATGGAGTCAGCTGCTGCATCTGGCAACAGTCGGAAGCTGTTCCAACTCTTCCGAGCCACCGGCAGCAAGAAACAAGGTGTCAGCGAGACGGTCTGTGAGGCAGATGGCACGCCAATTACCAGCTTGAAAAGACGCCTGGAACGCTGAGCAGAGCACTTTGGGAAACAGTTTAGCTGGCCACCAGCTTCAATGTCTGCTGTCATTAGCCCCAGTGCTCCTTGGTCGGTTAATACCGACCCACCCACCGAAGAGGAGGTCCGTAAGGAACTCCAAGTGTTAAAACGCCATAAGGCGCCCGGCCCAGACAATTTACCCCCGGCTCTTTTTAAAGATGGTGGCGAGACTCTCACAATGGCCCTAACTGGGTTGTTCAGGAAGGTATGGGAAGCTGAGATTGTACCATCAATGTGGAACAAAGCCATTATCGTCCGCATCTTTAAAAAGGGTCGACGTAATTCGTGTGACAATCATAGGGGTATCAGTCTGCTACCAGTCACGTCTAAATTATTGGCTGCTGTCTTGCTTCACAGGCTGTGCAAAATAAATGAAGGATTGATTCGCGAAGAGCAGGCTAGCTTTCGTTCAGGTAGTGGATGCATTGATCATGTGTTCACCCTTCGTCAGTTGTTGGAACACCACCACACGTATTGCAGGCCAACGATCGGTGTTTCTTGATATTAGGGCTGCCTTCGATTCGTTGGACAGAACTGTGCTCTGGAACTGTCTGTTAGAGAGGAGTTTACCTGAAAAGTTTGTGAACATCCTAAAAGCTCTACACAGAAACACCTCAGGTAGAGTGAGGGCATACAACCAACTATCATCACTGTTCCCAACCAACAGTGGGGTTAGACAGGGTTGCCGAATCTCTCCATTTCTCTTCAACTTGGCCATCAGTGACATTCTGGAGTCAGCTCTGAAGGATGCGCGTGAAGGTGGTGTAGGTCTGCTACCTGGAGATAGACTTTTCGACCTCGAGTATGCAGACGATATCGTCTTACCGTGCGATAGCATGCAGGCTGCCCAAATCGCACTTAATCAGTTGGCGATCAGTGTCTGTAAGTATGGTATGTGCTTTGCACCGTCTAAGTGCAAAGTACTGTTACAAGATTGGCAGGAGCCTGTACCTGCACTCACTCTTGCGGGTGAACCGCTTGAAGTTGTCGATAAGTTTGTGTACCTGGGTAGTTGTGTGATTCCTGGCGGAGGGGTGACGGATGAGATTTCCAACCGTATAATGAAGGCTAGGGTGGCATACATCAACTTGAGCCACCTCTGGCGCCGTCGCGACGTTAGCCTGGCTGTCAAAGGTCGGGTATACAATGCTTTGGTGCGGGCTGTCTTGCTCTACGCCTGTGAAACCTGGCCTCTCCGAGCTGAGGATGTGAGGCGACTCTGCGTGTTCTATCATCGCTGTCTCCGCAGGATTGCTTGCGTTCGATGGCATCATCGCGTAAGTAATTCTGAGGTTCGACGGCGTGTGTTTGAACACAGTGGAGATCACCATTCATTGAGTGTCGTCATCTGGAAACACCGGCTCCGGTGGCTGGGACATGTGCTGCGAATGTCATCCCAGAGGCTTCTGTACAGGTCTCTGTTCGTTAGCCCTGGGACGGGATGGAAAAGGCGGAGGGGTGGTCAGTCCATGACGTGGCGTCGTGGGATGAAGGATATTTGTGCTAAATTAGCATCGGTTGGTGCGTCGCGACTCCCTGGTTGGGGTCCACGAGATAGCTCGAATAGATGGCTCGAAACGTTATCGGTATATGGCGAAGAATCGTAATCAATGGCGAACGTGTTGCAATTTTCTTCTTTCTTCCCTTCTTGATGATAGTTAACGAATACTGTTTGAACTTGTTAAACATGACTGTTTTCCTTCCAGATGAAGTTCTTTATCCGTTTTCTACTTATATTTTTACTTTTAATCTATGTTGTTTTATTATTATTGTGTGGCGCATCTTTCTTGGTGCCATATTGTACCAAGTTTTTCTGCGTTTAAATAAAAAATAATAAATGAACTGCTGCAAAGTTCTATGTTGAAACCATTCAGTCAGTCAAACCTATCCACGAATATATATGATCATATTTTATTGAACAAAGAACAGAAGTGTGATCAAGGTACATTGTTGGTGATAATTCTTTCGACATTCAAATGAAACATATACCACTAGTTTATGGGGATATTGAACAATCATTCACTCAATATAAAATTTACTGCAGAATTAGACAGCAGACAGTTTACTTTTATAGACTTATTAGCTGGGCGGAAGGATAGTGGATATCTTATTATGTTTCTATTGGGGAATACAATACACTCATATTGTGATGAGAGCAGGCTGTTAGCCAAAATTGGTAGACAGTAATTTACGTCAATGTTTACGTCCCCAATATTGGTCATGAGAAAAATAAGAACAAAGACTGATTCAACACCCAACCATAGCTGACTTTGCGTAGGCGGATACAATTTTCAGATAGATAATCTGAACTTCAAGCAACGGCCACACAGAGATGAAACATTAACGTTCAGCGAGAAACCAACAATCAGAAGACTGTGTTTGTTTGCTACCAGTAATTTATAATGATGTACATGAAAATCTATATATGTCTGTTAATTTCCTAAATAAACGATATATTGCCTCGCCCTTGTCTTCTGTCGTTACAATATGAATGTTTGAATTTAGAGTCCTTACAGAGGTATCTCCAGTTTTCTAAGAGCACACATCAAAAGCGAAGTAGAGCATATGAACGAAACTGCAAGAAAATTAATAACTCTTCGAGAAATTCTAGTCAAAAAATGAAGAACACTAAACTTGACCAAGAAATTAATTCAAAATTATGAACTAGAACAAACATTATTCTAATTATTTCGAATTTATCAGGCAGACTAGAAAAGTACCTAAGAAATGCAACGTCAGCGTATTCTTCAGAAAAGCAAACATACTATAAAACAATCGCGTTCATACAAAAGACAGAATACCGAAGGATTTACAATCTGATTCTGTCTACAAGATAAAATGTTTAAACCAAGATGCGATATACATCAAGCAAACTTATGGAGATATGAACGTCAGAAAGAATGAACGTTGCAGAGCGCTTACTTGACCATCAAGAAGTCCAAGAGAACTTAAAATATCTTCGGCAACAGAATTACACGCTATGATGCCAGGCCCCAAAAGTGACTGATATCATTCATAATTTCTTGAAATCATAAAGAACGACTGATAGTAGAAGCAGTTCACACAAATAAGAATTCAAATCATTTGAAGAGGAAAGAAGATTAAGACCTGGCTCCAGTAACCACTCTGCACAAACTAACACAGCGAACACAAAACATAGTAAGAATTCTACACTACAATTGCCGTTTTTATAATTCACATACACTCAGCAAATTTGACAATAAGAACATGTTTTTTTATCTTTATCAAATGATTTCCTTTACAACAAAAGAAAACTGATCGAGACATCATGGATTAGCTGAATTTGTAAATCCTGGTTTACTACCACTTTCATATCGCTATTAGCATTAAAAGCGAGATGTAAGTAAAAACAACTTTGTTTTGATTGTCATTCACCAGAAAAAGCAAATTTCTAGTGGTAATATATACACTTTTCCCATATGAGTAAATGTGTAAAAATAAATAATTTCTTCCAACCAGACATTTTTAAACTGAATTGGCTATTTCTTTTTATTAAGATAAAAATACGTGTTACAATTGGCACTTTCAGATGAATTTCTTACCTAATGTGGATTGGTTAACTCCAACTAGATACAAATGATATGCGCATAAGCCAAGCTGACAAAGACCAAACATAACAGCCACAATAAAAACGAACAGAACTTGAAATCGGTCAACCGAGAAATTGTTTGCAGACTGAAAATCAAAATTATGTATGATAGATGTAAATAATAAACAAGTGGCAATGCATTAGTCAATTATTCAGCATTTATGATATGTGAAATGTACCAGCACTTTGGCCAGTGACTACCAGAACACTTGAGTAGGATTTGGATGACAGAAAATTAAGAGTGACTAAATTTTAATGCAGCGGAAATCCAAGGAGTTAAAGAACACTGAAATGAATTGCATCACGAAGCACAGGATAATTAACTGGGATTATCTAGGCACTACTAGAGTATTAGTGGTTAGACTCTTAATAAAAGAAGATTTCATTTGTATATTAAATTCGAAGTTATGAATACCTCATCAATATTTGTTAACTTACTAGTTATCCATTCTTAAGTTGTTTAGCATTTATTGACTTTGTATGTAGTTCTACATACTGCGATAACTTGGAGAAATACACCTCTGTGGGAAGTCCTATGTTCAGGAAGTCTTATATGGCACATGTAACTGCTACCTACGGTAACCGTAATCTTAATCTAATGTTAAGTTGTACAAAGTACGAAACTACTTGTCTGTAAAACAATATATACTCATCCAGGCAATCCAATCCCGAAACAACTAGTTCATCTCAGTATGAAGTTTCTATCAGTTAATTACACCTTCTGTATGTTTCTTTAAATAAATCAATCACTTCAGAGATATAGCCATCACTTTAAAAAATTAAACCAAAAATAGCAGGGTTCTAAAAATATCTTATTAGTTGATCAAACCATATTAATATTCAGAGCCGGTAAACCGTATAATAAATCATAAAAAGGAACTGTTAAGAGAGTGTTGACCTTACCTTACTCTTTCAACAATAATAATTTGCATTATTCCAAAACAGTACTAATGATACAGTATGGAATTTTCAGCATTTGCTACAATGCAATTTAAATCTAATTAGGGGTAAATTTCAAATTTTGAACGTATTATTCACAAAGAGGTTATTTGTCAGTGAATTCCTCTGACCAATATGACTTTAGGCATCTGCAGTTAGATAAGATGACAATACACTGCTACTTAATTCTTCAAATTCAACTGTTCTCCATAACTACGACATAAAAGGACGAAAAGTATTGAATATGGATGTGGTTGAAACTAAGCGACTGATACTACTATCCCAATGAAAAATAATTCTTTACTTCTCACTAACATTATCAATAAACATTTCCCATATTCCCAATAGGAATTTACGACCTCTTTGGGGACCGACAGCAAAACTCGACAAAACACAGACGCTGGCACTAAACAACTTAATACGCTAATTAGAAATAAATCACTCCACTTCAACTCAGTAGCTGAATTGCAATATCATCACTGTTAAATGTATATATCCTAATTATGATATCATATGGAATGTAAGAGTGTAAAGAGACTCCAACTGTGATAAAAACACCTACTGTCTCATTTAATCCCACCTTATTTGCATAGAACTTCATCCTAATTATGTTGAATTTTAATGACAAATACACTCAATTTCTTTCAATTTGCAGAATTGATAAGCGTTTAATAAACTAACAGACGTGCATAGAATAGTATTAAATGTGAGGAAATTTAAATACTACGAGCTTACTGTCCAAAATTCTGCAAAATATGATGCTGACGTGCAAACGATATAAAAGCAGTATATCACACCCCATGATAAAAAGACAATAAAGTACTTATGATTATGAAATCCAACACAATTATTCGTCCTACAGAGAAATTTACAAAATAGAGAGAACGAAGCAGATATTAAAAAATAACTCGAAGTGGTATATATAAAATCACAAGTTTACACAAATATACTGTAGAAAGTTAATAACCACAATGGTTTAATAGTAACTGAAAACAGTTTTAAGTGTGAGACAGTATAATTTGAAGAATCATAAGATAGGCAACAATGGAAGGTTTAGACTACATAGTGGACAACTACCCACACGATCGAACAACCGTGATCTATTGGTAAGTACCATAATTAATAATTTCCCACCACAAAGTCACACGCAAATCATTTTCATCTATGGTTAAAACAAGTCACATGGAACACAAGGAATGAATGATAATTATAGTAATTACAGCGTACATTTCAATTTTATTAATGCGAAGAAGCCAATATAAACAATATTCCCTGAAAGCTTTGACTAATGAAGAAGCACAAATCGACAAACTGAGCCACAACGTAGAACAGCTGCACAAAAATCAAGCAACTAAGGTTGATACATCCCACAGTCAGAGAAGAAACAACCGAAACAACCGCAATGGACAGAAATGTAGGGTAAATCAATAATTATTTGCAGTATATTGACGATTCAATTCCTCTCAAAGGTTGATACTGTAAAAAACTGTAGAGCGCCGAAAACAGATTTTAGCTACATCACCAACAGTCGCAATCCATTGCTTCTTAGTATCGATGATCCCAATCAGACAGTTTACAAGATCCTACGAGGCTCAAACCGACAAACAAAGACTTCATGAATTGATTCCAGATTGCGATTTGTAAGTTGACATCTACCGACAAGGAAAGCCAAGAAAAACGCAAGACGTGTCCTAGCCACCTAAATCGATGCAACTTTACAACTCCATCAATTGACTTTTCCTCCTCACTTAACACGCTACTCCTAACCTCATTATGAATGACCGTATTATACCAACTAATACGAGAGAGCTTAGTGCACACATATATGGACAGAGACGGCTAGTCTCTTCACATCTCCCACCTTCAACTACCATATCTGACAGTCGTAAAGAAGAACGGAGTGAACTGTTGTGTGGTACAGACACTGTTTAATGGGTAGCCAAATATTAGGCACCTGTGCCATGGATGACACAAATTGGTAAATGACAGACAATCCATTCACATACGTGCTGATATTTCGTCAGCATTTCGTCCATTAGGGTTGGTGCAACCCCACATAAAAGAGAAGTGGTCAATATGACCAAACACTTGTATAGTTATCCTTAAACTAGGAGTTGGTGTACACCGTCTTACTTATGAACATAGAGAACACAGAAGTGATGAACATAGCCGACTGCCAACTACAACAGGCACCAATCACTGATAATGAGAGAAATCCCCGGCCGATAGCTGCTAATTTGACGTGGTAGTCGGGCTTGCATGTCGCTATGACCCAACAACCTACACTGGCTGGAACTATTGTTCCTGCACGTCCGACCATGCCAGAAAGGCTGTTAAGACTAAAAGCAGTTACCGGCATAGTGTAAGAATTTATTTTTTTTACATTATGCTGGGGGTCTGTGGACAAAGTCGTACTGTTGGGGAACAGGGATGAAACAGCAGTAAGGTGTTTCCCTCAGATGACCAGCATGCCAACTATGCTGTCTCTCCACTCTGGAGAGAAGGGGTTAGAAAAGGTCGACCCCAAAAATTGTACATCCCGACTTACCCTACGGTGGTCCGTAACCGGAGGTAAGTTACTAATACGGAACCAAACCAAGACGCCAGTTCAAACAGGCCATGTGTGACCGGCCTCAAGCAGTTGTCCCCCCGGGCTCTGTGGTCACGCAACTCCAACCTTCTTTCTGTTTCAGGTACCAGAAGAATCAATCACCTTCCACGGTGTGGGCAGCCGGGAAGTAACAACCACCCACACACTTCCAAGAGCACATGAAGCCTTCCAGAGCATCATTCTTCTTTACCCATATCAACTTCACTATCTTACCTTCCTACTACAGTCAGTACTATTCTTCAGGCTAGTGAGTCATCTTCACTTCAGTCTGTGACCACAAACAACTATGAGAGCCACACCCCCGAAAGCCTCTTAAAGCCACGTCGCCAAATAGGACCTTCCAACGTCAGGACCCTCTGCCAAATCGGACAACAGGCATCAATAGCCACAACTCTGACATCTCGAACCATGGATGTATGTTGTGTTTCGGAGACACGCATACAAGATCCGAGTGTGGTCATTCACTTAACCTCACTCGGTCAACAAGGTGAATCCGCGAAATTCACTTTAAGGGTGTCAGGAGACCCCACAGCTAGTTCGCGGGGACTCGCAGGTGTAGGGATAGCACTGAGTGTTAGGGCGGAAAAATCACCTATTGACTGGATCTTAGTAGATAGTCGTATGTGTGCGGTCTGTCTGAACAGGTCCATTTGACAAAGGAAGGACGGCGTTACTGGTCGTTGTCTTCTCGTAGTCTCCGCTTACGCCCCAACAGACTGCAGTTCAGATGAACTAAAGGATGATTTCTACCCGTAACTGTCTAACTTGCTGCAAAAAGCGAAACTTTCAGATATAGTTGCTTTAGCAGGCGACTTCAATGCCCAAGTAAGGAACTTATGCCAGACTGAGAGGTATGTAGGTGGCACGCACAGAGTTCCCTGCCCACGAAACGACAACGGTGATCGTATTCTACGGTTATGTTCAGATAATCACCATCGCAACGACCGTGAACAGTGGTGGGCAACAAAAGCGAAAGAGATGGAAAAGGCATCGGCGATTGGTAACACCAGACAACTGTTTAGGCTTATCAGGGAAACAGGTGGTAAAAGGCGAACGATAAGTGAAACAATCTCTGAGAGAAATGGCACCATAATTGGCTCCCCCGATAGACGACTGGAACGCTGGAAAGAACACTTTGAGGAGCAGTTTAATTGGCCTACAGCCACGCTCAACTTACCGAACATCCAACATCTCCCTGAATGGGATATAGATACAGGTCCACCATCCCTAACTGAGGGTACTAAGGCTGCCACTAGTCTGAAACGAGGCAAAGCAGCAGGACCTGATGGAATGGCTCCAGAGGTATTTTAGTACGGTGGAGACAGTTTACTGTCTGCGTTAACTAAGGTACTAGGCAGCGTCTGGGAATCAGAGGAAGTCCCGATGGGTTGGTGTCAGTCACTGATTATCTCGATATACAAGAAGGGAGACAAGTCTTCCTGTGACAACCACAAGGGGATTAGCTTGACTAATATGGTATCCAAAGTTCTAGGCTCAATAATAATGCGTAGACTAAGCGGTGCTCGGGAGGAACAAACACGAGAGAACCAGGCAGGCTTTAGACCAGGAAAAGGGTGTATTGATCATATCTTCACCCTTCGACAGATTCTGGAACATAGGCATACTTACCGGCGTCCAACAATCGTCATATTGCTTGACCTAAAGGCGGCATTCGATTCTGTCGACCGAGAGGAATTGTGGTGAGAGATGGTTGCTAGCCAAATTGGTTTACAGTAATTGAGGTCAATGTTTATGTATCAAATATTAGTCATGTTGTGGTGAGAGATGGTTGCTAGCCAAATTGGTTGACAGTAATTGAGGTCAATGTTAGTCATGTGAAAACAAGGTCAAGATGGACAGGCGGATACAGTTAACATATGGATGAACTGACACAGCCACAAGAGATGCAAGATTAACTTTGTGTGAGAAACAACCAATCAACCGACTGTATTTTCTACTAACATTAACCTACAATAATGTACATCAAAATCTATAAATATGTGTTGATTTTCCGTAATAAACGTTCTGTTGCCTGGCCCTTGACTTCTGTTGTTACACTATGGCGACGCTTAGCTGTAAAGGGAATGCCGAGAAAATACATTGCACTGATCAAGACACTCTAGTCGAAATCATGCAACCAGGTGAGGGCTTACGGCGAGTTGTCATCTGAAGTGGTGACAACTAATGGTGTCCGTCAGAGATGCCCACTATCCATATTTCTACTCAATTTCATCATAGGTGTACTAATGGAATTAACCCTAACTCACTTCAACGACTCAGGGATTGACTTGTTACCAGGGTATAATCTCGTTGACTTTGAATATGCAGGTGACATAGAGTCCTTCTAGGTGAAGACGCTGACAGAAACCGAGCAGAGTCTTCTGAACGCCTCGGGCTGCAATCTCCAAATGTTTGGCATGCGATTCGCTCCCACCAAATGTAAGATGATGTTACAGGGAGTGAAGTGGTAGGGCGTGTTGACCGCTTCACTTATTTGGGAAGTTGCATCAGCCACAACGAATTGATCGCTGACGAAATCTCAGCACGGGTACAGAAGGCTCGTTTCGCATATGCCAGTTTACGCCGTCTCTGGCGTAGGCGTGATATCCGGCTGTCGACCAAAGGGTGGATGTACTGCTCAGCAGTCCTCTCCTTCCTCTTTTATGGCTGTGAGTGAGACCTGGCCATTGAGAGTGGAAGAAATGAAAGGCTAGCTGTCTTTGATTATAGGTGCCTGCGTCCCATCTCCCGTGTTAGGTAGTATAATAGGGTGAGAAATATTGAGGTCAGTCACTGGTCGAGTGCTAGGTAGGTGGGAGGGGAAATCAATAGACGAGGCTGTGAAGCTACATCGACTGAGATGGTTAGGACATGTGTTACGTATGTCTAGCCATCGCCTTCCTCGACGGGAAATCTTAGCTGACATAGGGTAGGCTTGGAAAAGAGCCAGTGATGGTCAAACCAAAACATGGCAACAGTCAATGAAATCCACAGCAGTTAGTTTAAGCCACATAGGAAGGTGTAGACTTTCTGGTTGGGGTCCTTGCGATGGTAGAACTAATGGCTCGAAACAATTGGTGATATGGCTGAAAATCGTTCCCAATGGCTGACGCAGATGCATTCACTCCTTGTGGCTTATAATACCCAATGAAACTATATGGTTTTTTTATATTACTATTCTTTTTGCTTCATATCCCTGTTTACTGTCTCTAATATACATTTCTTCTATCTTCTCTTTCGTTGTGTGCCACATGGAGTGTGGCGATTCGAACTCCTGCACATTGGTGCAAAGTACTGTGTTGAAAACAGTTAGTCAGTCAGTCAATGGGAAAAATCTAAATCTCACTTAACATATACGTTACACTGTTTTAACTACAGGCAAATGACACCAAGGAGGATGTTAAAGTCAGATAGACAAGATCGGATGGCAAAAGCGAGACAGGTATTCGTTATTCTGAAGTCAATCTGGAGATCTGTAGGAATCACTCAGCACAAGCAGCATTATTTAAATACTCTTCAACAACAACATCAATCAGTGCTTCCAGGTGAGATGAACCGAAAGCATTTCCAAGGACCTCAGGACTTCCATCAGCACCTATTTCGCCAGGTACTGCAGATTGGATGCAATGCGGAGAGGATACACAGGACAGAACTCTGATAGGCAGCGGGCCAGCCAATAACCTGTCATCTTGCAAGTATGCAGAAGGAAATGGAGATGTGTTCAACACACTTAGAGGACCGTTGAGTAACATGAGCCAGGCACCCGAATCTTGGTTAGATCTCAACTACTCAGTACTTGTTTTAAGTCACACTTATTGTGTGGGAGCTAGTGATACTACTCATTTGATATAAATATAAAACTTGGGCACTGTGGTAGAGTGTAACTCCACCTGAATGAGAAACCACGCGCTGAGAGCCCTGGGGTGACATGGAGAAGATCGTACGAAAAGGAAATGAAACATTGTGGGCAGTTGTGGACCCAGTTGAAAATGATAGTAGAGAATCCATTGCAATGGAGATGTGCTGCTGAAGCCCTATATTCCACATGGAGAGCAAAGAATGATTAATAATAATAATAATAATAATTCACAAGTAAGTGCTACTGACTAGATAGATGGGAGAATCAAAGGTTTTCTGCATACAAGCTACCAGATAAAAAGTTCATGAAATACACTTGACTTCAAATTGAAGTATGCGCTGAAGATGTCACCCAGTAGGGTGATGAAAGCTTCGCAAATTAACTATCCAGCTCAGAGAACACAACAACACTTGAACTTTTTTATTCTGCAAATATATTTGTATCTGAGCCATTTACATACATCTAATGACCCGGTGCATGAAATTCAATATTTCAGTCTTAAATATACACCGAATGAGTGAAATCATCAGTGAAAGTCAGAAACATAAAACGTCTCTTGCTTCAATGGTTACAATATTGAAATAAAAACTGAAAGTGTTATTTTGACATTAAAAAACTACTTTTAGAGCATACTTACCAAGGACAGTGGTGATCCATTTTTAACAGACACCTAGAGCGAGAAGAGAAAAAGTGGATTTTTTATATTATATGAGAACATAACACTAAGCTGTACACAAAAATCGTCAAGTCACCAAAGTAGCCTTATTATTATATTTGTTATTCACATACATAGTCGTGTAATGAGCCTGTGGGGACGAATCGGGTCGATTCAGCAGAATGTCAAGTATTCGGCAGAAGGTGGATCATCAAAACTGCTCTTATAGCCCACTTTGTGCACGAAAAACACAGCCAACGAAAACAATAGTCTGTGCGACTGGAATGCCTGATGAAGTTTCATAAACAAGAAATCAGTTGTTATTAGTTTGCATCTAATATAACATATCCACTGAATAAAAATTAGACACTGATTAAAAGCTAAAATACATATGAAATCAGTGTTATCTGCTAGAGAACTTACAATCCACAAGCAGAACAGTGATGGGCTCGATCAGGTTTGATCAATGCACATATATTGCATATACGAATTCTTCCGTCTGGGCCAGCAAGATAAACTGGAAGATTACGTTCTGATACTATTGTCTCTAGCATTACATTGGCATCAGCACCTGTTCCCGCTGTGTTATTCAATGTCTCCCATTCACTACTGGTTAAATGAAACTATAGTTCAAAAAAAATTTAAATCATATCTGTAATTACATTAGAAACATAAGAGTAAAAAATGTTCAGTCGAAAACCACCACCTACAAAACATTCATGATGGTACTAAGAGATAGAAATTGGTATCTAACAAAAACACTAACAAAGCTGTCGTGACTGGCACACCAACGAACAATCGTTTTGGAAAGTAAAGAGCTACATTAGTTACATTGTTATGACTAACAAACATTAAAATTTAGTCAACATGAATGACTTAAACATTAAAAATCAATCCGATTTTGTTTATTCATTGGAAAAAGGAAACCTCAAAATAATGAGACTGAATTATGGTCACCATTGGTTTTGGGGCGAAAAAACTCCAAAGAGATATATATGATAAATCAAGCAGAGTCGTCAAACACATTCAACCTGAACAGGCCGAGTTTCATAGGTTTAGAATAAGACTGCCAGCACTGAAGCATTGTGAACTCTACGCTTGACAACCAAACTGATGCAACGACAATGCCAGCATATGCTGCTTTGATCTTCAGTATACCACCATACGCAACTACCTAGACACACGAACTTCTTGACTACTCATGGTTTGCCACCTGCAACAATGAGTACAGAAACACGCTTCTGCTAATTCCAACGACCCAATACAAATCTAGAAGCTAGGTTGAGCAAAACGTTATGTAACAGCTTAAAAGAATATTCAGTTACCCGGGTCGAAGGGAATCAGATATACAAACATACAAACAACAAATTATTGTATACGCATAAAATTTGTCATTTCACACTATCTCAGTTAGGGAGTTCTAAGGGATAAGTTAAAGAAACGCATTTAATGTAAACCGAAATTTCAAGAAACCATTAAGCAAAAAAGGGTAAAAAGAGGGTACACGATTTTACCGTAGGCGACGTTGAGTCATGTCATCTAGTCTCCAAACATCGTTTTTGGTTTTTACGTGGAAACCTATGTATTTACATTCCTCAAACAGCAGTTACTATGAGGAAGTCACTTTCCCTCCTTGGTCACGCTAGACTTTTCTCAAACTTAATCTCACTTTCACTAATACTGAACTTGCGGTCGGTGGTGATTGGATGGATGAGGAGTTACAACACTACCTGCAGACTTGCTTCATTTTATTAAGACTTCACACTTAATTTTTTCTTGACGCAACAGTTTTATAACGCGAAGAGTATGCTAAATGCACGATAGTGGTCAAGTACGCAAGGCCCTTTCAAATCTATTATTCCAAATGACTGCCTCCCAACTATATAGAAAGGCTGTCAGAAATACATTAAACTCACAACACACTCGTGCAATAAACACAGCCAATTCTATTTGATAAAAACTTTCTGTGTCAACACTTACTGGGTCACCGAAAATGGTTAGTTTAACCTTTTAGTTAACTTCTTAAATCATTCCATATTAGTTTGTTTATTAGATATATCACACAGTGAAACAGTATTATTTACTGGATGACGTTTCAAAGTCGTGTGATTACAATTGATATGATTATGAACAATAAATTTTGTTCGAAACGTCATCTAGTAAATAATACTGTTTCACTGTGTGATATATCTAATAAACAAACTAATATGGAATTACTTACTACCACAGAGCCCAAGTTTTACACATATATTAAATTCTTAAGTCGCTTACTCAATTTACTTCCCAATTTTATGTGGGGCATTGATACAAGCTAACCCTAAAATAATAGTTCACTTTTATTCTTTTCAGTTAAGAACCCTTGTAACTTGAAGAGGTACGTTTTTGCGATAGACTACCTATCTCTATTCAAATTTAGCACCTCCAGCTACACAACTTACTTGTCACATAACTACTTCATAGATAAACCTTTCGACTGATAAAGCCATAAGTTGTTATATATGCACATACGATTAGTTAGACCTATAAGCTAGTGAACAACAAATGTCGAATTTATGTGTATTAGGTCATTCGTGAAAATCCAGACCTAGCAAAAATAAGGCTTTAGATTACGATAAAACCTGAAATCTCATTAAGGGCAATAAATATAACTCAAAGTGATCATCATGAAAAGCTATCCTCTTATTGGAGGTGAGATCATACATGCTTTGAAATATCATGTTTGATTAGGACGTCTCAGCTAGCGATTCGCACCATTTTGGGTTGCCATTCTTAAACACCTGTCGCTGTCGTTAAGCAGTATAATGCACTATTTAATTTTAGAACACCCAGGATTGTTTCACACTGAAGAGGAGTGGGATCTCCAGTTAAAGATAAGCCCGGCTTGCTTTGCCTTCACATGAATAATTATATAAAATAAGCTGTCTCACGTATGGAGATTGTCAATAATACTCCAGTGATTAAACGCAACTAGACTCAAAGTGGATTAGATGTTTGGACCAAAGAGCCAGATTCAATGCTATTCCTGACAAGTGTTGTTTCATTGTTTTGTCTTTCGATATTCAAAATAGATATTTGACAACACACTACCCTATGTACTGAGTTTCACGTATTTATTTGTAATGAGAGAGTAACAGAACTTTGTAGAGCCAAACACAAATATAACGTCTAAATAAGGGAAGGATAATTTATTAACTCAAGTTCACAAATAAGTGTGTGATGCTCAATGAACACTCAGAAAACTTAAATTTATCAGTAGGACATACTCCCGAAAAATTTAAAAATGAGTCATCTTCAACCCCTATTTTTGTCTTGAAGAACTAATTGGTATGGAGAACTAGTATTAGTCAGCCGCATTCACATTACCGTTTTATAGTGATTAATTTCCTTCAGGTCCACCAAAAGTCACTAATATACAAAAACCAAACTTTGTTTAGCGGATAAGAAATTAGTGAAATTGACCGCCTAATAAGTGTGGTTCATTCTTAGTCACGTTATTTATTAGCAGAGGAATATGACTAACTTCAAGGACATAATAAACCCATCTAGGTAACATATATATCTCTAGCATACACGACCTACGGAACTACAGATAATGGAGCAGTTTTAAGATCAGGAACTAAAAATTTTAAATGAGAAAAAGCAGCTCACTTGTTTAGGGGGTCTTATGGGCGGGGTCACGATAGCTTTCACATAGGACCAACAAAACATCAAGAGCAACAGATGAAAGAATACGAGATAACATACTGAAAATAAAAACTTATTGTCCACAATTTACCTTTCGCTGATACAGGGGTGACTTGGACTAAAGTGGCGAAAAAATTACAAATCAATTGAATTACCTATGCATAATGAATATACATACGCATAATAAGACCATCCAACTATCAGGAAAATAAAGACAACCGGGAACCAGCTGAAGAACTTCTGACATCTGGCGAGAGTCACTTTACTATTACATCTAGACATTTCTAAGATGAGGTATACTGCAACTTCACAGTCCGTTCCATGAATGCCTTATTTGGAAACACTTCAAATAATTCTCAAGGTCAAGCAACTCTGAACTGATCCAACATCCAATATGCTTTCACAAGCAACGGATTTCTTTGATCTAGCTTCTTGGCTATAAGATAAGGTTTTTCCCTCCACCCACTTGTTTTAACTTTGACAGACTCAGAAGTGTGTGACGCAGGAAGTCAGTTTCATGTTACCGGGTGTCTTCTACACAAAATGCTCTAGTCTCTCAGAGGTAGTTAGTGGGTGATGGATTGGGAGGGCGAGTGAGCAAGCAAGAACTACATCTGCATGAGATTCGTGGTTAACAGAGTGCTGAGACCATAGTGTGGTTTTCACCTTTTAGTCGTTCGGTGGGGTTGAAAAGCTAGGTGATTAAATATAAATATGTCAACCCAAAGAGAAAAACGAACGAATAAATAGACAACCTAAAGTGATGGTTTAAAAGTAAATGAACAGGTATAGTTCTCGGAAAGGACACTAATTGAGGCCAGGAACAAGTTTAGCTGAGATCCATTGATACAGTACGGTAGATGAGGGTCGCATGTCGCTGCGACCAGGAGGGATACTTCACTTAGACATAACTATTTTGTTGCTACTTGATTATCCACCCTCCACTTAGAGCTTTCTACGAGAAGTACAGCAATTATGACTTCTGACAAGCCGACTAGATTTTTCGCCCAGCGGAAAATCGTTTTCTAAACAGAATACCTAAGCTGTTAAAATACAATAAAATAATAGGCTTTATATACTATGGATTATAGCTAATGTCTCCAAAGCTATGGGTTTCAGAATGTCTTAGAAGCGATGAAATTGTCTTTCTACGGATTATATACTATTAAGATGAAAACTATTCACACAAAGAAAATCCTTGCAACGTTTAATATCGCACCTTCAACCACTCAAGTTGTACTTAGCATAGCATTTTACCTCTTCTTGTTAGACCATTTAAGTCCCGCTGGACTGTTCTATACCTTTTGTTCGAGTCCACACTTTTGTTAACTTACAGTCATTTTATGCTCAGCCATTACGCTATTGTTATTTGGATGCCGGATAACCTCATTCATGGAGGTCTGTAACATAATTATTTTATACATTCTGTTAAACAGGACATTAAATCTTGTAGTTCCATCAGTAGTTTTGGTTTCATTACAGATCCATTTAGAACAGTTTAGTGTTGCCTTGGATTTTGGCCCGAAGCTGCAAGAATGTCTCTTCTTTTAGAATTATTATAACACTGGGTGTAACAATCCTTGCAAGACAATATGGAAATTAAGAAGAGTTCCTGGAGCTTTTAAATTTTCCTATCAGTTTCTAAAAGTTGAATCCTTAATTTTACTTGTGGATGGACTCAAAACTGAAATTATTGGGTATAATTAAGCAGCACAATCCCTAACCCATTGCAGAATACATATATGTTTTTACCATTATTTATCCATTGCTACTATGTTGATATTGAAAATGGATTTCCCTTAGTATTAGACATAAACTAATATAATTCATATCCTTTTCTACTTTAAACGTCGTTAGGACCAATTACCGTTACTCAGACAGGAAATCAAATACCAAATTACCACCACCTAAGTCTGACATGAGACAATAATTAGAACTACTTAGCTTAATATATTCCTGGGACACCCAGCAGGACCTTGTTATGACAATGAGCAATAAATTTTGCTCGAAAAGTCATCAGTAAATATTACTGTATAACACTCTATGATTTAGCAAAATAAAATGTTATCCATAATGGAATTAAGCTGTACAGGCTAAATAATCATTAAGTAGTGTGACCAAGGCGCAGATCCAGAATAACAGATGGCCATGCAACTACGATGAAAGTTATTCCTGGTTGAAGCCAACCACGAACTAGATAGAAGTCATTCCAGCAGCGCAGCTAGCTGACTTCGCAGACCCACACTATGGGATGGCGAATGCTATGCACTTTGTCAGCTGCAACATCTGCGGATCAAATGATGGGACTTTAGTCAAAATCACGGGGAGGATGACTCCTAACCCATGAATTTGCTCTCCTCTTGTTGCGACTCTGCAAGAGATTTTCACGATTGCTAGATTGGAGACGGAACGGCTAGATGCCATGTTCGAAGTTTGTGTGACCTTTCCGCGTGTTTTTCGTTTCTTCTTGTCTTCATTCGTATTCTAAACTTTTAGGTAGTATTTTAGTATTGATGTCTACTATTACAAATAGCAATAGTTTTGCTATTTAAATTTGCTTCTCCAGCCGCCGGATGTTATCCTTACTATTTTTTCTGTTTCATTTGAAAACTGAGCTACTGTTTAAGGCATTACCACATTGAACATCTGACTTTGGGCCTCAAAATTACAACTGTTTATTCGACATAGCATCAAGTAATCCAGAATTCGTATAACTTCATTTTGGCAGCTCCTTAGAAACTTTGCACAACATTCCAGTGAAGCAATCTGAGCGTCGTGCTCCATTATCAGCAAAAGATATACAACAATTAAGACTAAGCAGCTTGGTAACACGTCTTCCTCTGATCCAACACAAAAGCTAAACAAGTGCGGGTCAGATATTACTACCTCTTCATCGTCTTGTGTAACAAGTGATTTTATTTAGAATATTTACAGTAGAACAAGTTGTGAATTAGGTACTGTGGGTGCCTACCAAGCCACACTGGATCTCAATAAAAAATCAGACATCAGCTCTTTTGATATAAGTATAAAACTTGGTCACTGTGGTAGAGTATAACTCCATGATTGTTAAGAATTTATTTTGATGTCACACAGTGTTGTACAGTAACATTTGCTGATGACGTTCCGAGGACAAATTATTGCTCACAATCATATCAAGGCTCTCACACAACGTTGACCGAGAGGTAATTTGGAAACTACTTCAACACCACGGAGTACTTCAAGTGTTAATCAACCTCATTCAACAGTTGGGAATACGAAGTTGTGCGTCGGTGGCACAGCGGTTAGGACGCTCACCGACCATACACATGGTGCGGAGTTGGACCCCCTGCCAACACACACCTGATATCATTGGGTCGGCCTGCAAAGTTTGGGCCACTGATATCAGATGCTCAAAATTTTATACTTGTACCAAAAATACAGTGTGGAATCAGGCTATTATCACAAAAACAAAATAAAAAATTTCAGGTGATCCACAATGAAAAACTCACTCAGCGAAGGCTTTGAAGTGAATACAGGAGTAAAAAAGCTGGCTGCTTATTATCACCAATGATATTCTTGATTGTGGTGGACTGGATTATGCAGAAGACTGTGCACAGGGAGCAAGGAGACAGGAATACGCTGGACCACCGATAAGAAGACTCTATAAGATCTGGATTTCGCGCGTGGATGATATGTCTCATGTCATAAACTCCAAAACTTACAGGCGGAAACGATAACTTTCCTGAATTCTTTATAACCAAAGACGTTGACGTGAAAAATCCTAGCAATACACAGGCTGATCTCCAATCATCCGTTTCTACTCAAATCGACGCCTTTATGCGGGACACACATTTGCCAGTACAGAAGGTAGATTATAGCACCGTCGCTACTATTACCGCCAAAGCACTCCACTGTAAATAATTCCATCATCGGTGACATGCGCACATCAACTAAAATGCCTATTTAGAAAAGGCAAATGGCCCATCATCTATGCAACACACATCCACCCAAGCCAAAACGCAAACATTCTTCCAGTGGTCCATGGTCACTTACCTCTTAGGTGACTACGATGCACTACTGTCTTGTGAGGGAATTATTGATCATATTTCCACGGGAGTGATAAAGCGTGTTCGGTGCATGTATAATGCAATTGTTTTCAATGTGCCCGTTAGTGCCAACATTGAAAAACACACATGGCATATGAGATACCAGATTCCTTTCGTACCTACAAATGACTGCGTAAATCTTCATTGTACATCCTGTGCAATAATTTTCGAACTCAGCAGCGTTGTAGATGCAAATCACTTAGTCGGTGGCCAGCACCCTTCAAGGAAAGTAAGCAATTTTAATAATATACGCATCATTCAAGACAGGATACAAATGTGACGTCGTACCAAACAAAGTATCCCAGCAGGTGAGATCAGTCACCAAAAAGATACTGCCATTCCAATTGATATCAACACACAACCCACCCTTAGCCTTACAGGAAGCCCTCCTCTTAGTGACTCAAAAATGAAGCTTGACACGGCTACCATTACTAAGTTCAGTATTTCTCCACTTGTCATACAACTTGGAAAGTACTCTCCTGTTGTAAAAGTTGTACTTGCTCTACTAAAAGTATTGAAGGCCTTTCTAACACCTTTCCATTTAACCCTAAGATCCTGCGGAAAAGGTAAGAAACAGAATTCCTGTGCCTGGCATTCACTCTAACAAGTCTTCGTCATCGTCTTCTATTTCTCATGCGCTTAAATCTCCTAAAGGGCGTCTAGTGTATCAGATATAAGTGAAATTAGTCAGCCCTTCTGCTTCCATTGTCCTCCTCATTTTAATACAACCAGTTGCAGCTACCTAACTTTTACCACGAGGCGGCTTAATAATAAATTTAACTATGCCCATATTACTGTCGCACAGCCCCGTGGACTCAGTTGCCTAAGCTCTTAGCATTGTTTACTTGAAGATTCCCCCAGTAAATGCTGCTACTCCATAAACATACTCCCCCAAAGCCAAAACCACCTTTACAACGCTCCAATTAGTTAATCTCCTCATCATTTTATCACTTTTCCGCACCCAACAGTAATGACACAATCAACCCTCAAATGTGTCCTCTTCAGATATGCAAGATACCTCTATCTCCGTACGCCTACCTCCATGCGCTCATGAACTGAACGATCACCCATCTAATCCCTCTTCTTTTTCCTAGAACCTTGACGAAAACGATGAGGGCTTTGCGCACCGGAGATTCATTGCATCAGTCAGTCTATCATATAACTTTCATTTAACCTTGACAGAATCAGGCCATCATC